AAATGTTTTAGTCATAGATTAAAATTATTGATTCAATAAAGTATTAGCATGATTGCTGAATTAAAAAAAAAAAAAAACAGAGTATGAAGGAGATAGAAAAGAGAAAAGAATGAGTATAGGTTGAGTTATAGTGAATAAGGATAGTAGTATGAATAGCATTAGTTTTAATAGTAGAATAGCTAACTAGTACTCCTCAATTCAAGCAGAACTAGATATGATCTAAACAGCCTTACTAGCAACTCTTACTAATACAAAAGTGAAATTATACTCTGATAGCAATATAGTAATAAAAAGAATACAAGGTTTCTAAAGTTGAATGAATATTAGAAGCATGTTTAAAGCCAAGAATCATAGCTTAATTAATCAAATAATAGATTGCTATAGAACTAAAAATATTGAGCTAGAGCTGATTAAAGTTAAAGGCTACTGCATGAACTACTGGAATGATAAAGCTGACATGTTAGCAAAAGAAGAACTCTTATCTAGCCTAATACTAGAAGTATAGGATACTATAGCAGGTAGTATAAGAGTAGCACTAACTTGGAAATACAAGCTAATAGACAGTCTACTAAGATTTTTCATTAATATAATCACAATAACATCATATGAATGTGAATAGGCAGATCTGAATAATATTAGACCAATACTAGATCAAAGATCAAACAAGCAAAGTAATGAAGAGCTAAACTGAAGAAATATATAAAGCTTGCTAAAGAAGCTTCAGAGAAAAAGATACATTTGTATCAAAAAAAGCAAAGCTCTGATCTTCAGAATAAAGTGTCTTAATAAGTTATTATCAACTAAAGACCTTTGCTTTCAAAGAAACCTGAGTCTATACAAAAGTAAAACTTGTATAGTATGTTTTACAAAAGAAGAATCATTAGAATATATTGCAGAATACTAAATATATCAAAGAATTTAGAAAAAGATTGAAAGATTAATTATAAAAGAGCTTAGTATGAAAATTGATAATAGATAAAATATAGATATCTCAGAGCAAACCTTAAAAAAAATATTCTTAGAACAAGATATAGCTGAGATATTTAGTGAAAGAAAGCTACACATTCAAAATCTAACAAGTAAATAGCTTATAACAAATGTTAAAGAAATTTTAGGATTTACCTCCAAAACTAACAAGGTAATAAGCTAGTTTTCTGAACTATTCTGATCTAATTTCTTTGAAAAACTATAGAAATTTTATTGTAAAGTTATGCTAGAATGAGAAAAAAAGAATAATATCAAGTTTAAAAAAAAAAGAAAAAAAAGTAAAGTAGAAGCATAATAAACTTAAGAAAGAAAATATAGCAAATAAAAAAAACCAAAACTTAAGCAGAAACAACTATAAAGAATCAAATAAAGGTAAGAAAGAAAGAATCCAAGACCTAGCTGAAGCTAAAGTAAAAATATGAATTGAAAAAGGTTTAAAAAAAAGCTAGTTAAGTTTTAAAAATAACTAAGGTATCTTGAATAGATGCAAAGGAGCCTTCTATAGATCATTAGGTATAACTTTGTTTAGACAAACTACTCTAGTAGGAGGAAAATTACTTTTGCAGCTGATTGCACTTAGACATTTAGGGCAGCCAAGTAAGTTTAAAATTAGAAAAAGAGAACAGTTATATAGCTAATATAAATTAGTTTTTATTCTTGTTATTATATTATATATATTTTCTCTTAATAAATAAAAGACAAGATTGTCTAAGTTAAAAAAAAAAAAAATATTTATTTTAACAACTTTATTAAGAAAGTTTTTTAAAATTATTATAAAACTTTTGAGTAATAAAACTTTAAAGTTTTGTTTTGAAAATTTTTACTATAAAATTTTTGATCAAATTTTTTTATATTTTATATATAAATGAGATTAAAAATAATTTTTACTTCTAATATAAGTATAAATTTTCACAAGTAAATCAAAAAGTTATAATAATTAAAGTTGTAATTCTTTAAAAGTTTTATTAAATTACTTAATAAATTATATTTCTAAAACTTAAATTAAACAAGTTTACTTTGAAATACTGATAAAATTTTTGCAAAATTTTTTTTTATAAAATTAGCTATTTTTAGCTTATATATAATCCTAAATTTTTTTTTTATAAAAAAAAAAATATTGCAAAAAGATAATTTTTATTTTCAAATTTTATTATCTATAATTATTTTTTTAATATTTTTGTATTTTAAAAAAGCAAATCAGAGCTAAATGAATATAAAAATACAGATAAATTTGCTTATATTAGTCTATAATCTAAGGAATATAAATAAATCTTAATAGAATATATAAGCAGAAGATCTACATAGTAGAAATTCTAAGTTAATAAAGTAATATGACTTTCTTACAAGACTATATTAGTTAAGTCTAATTTGAAAAAATATTCAGTTTAATAAAAATAGTAGGTTTTGAGATTACTAGACAAAAGATAACTAAGACTAGTTAGATACTAAAAAAAAACTAGATTAATTAATTAGTAAAAAACTATAGTAGAACCTTAGATTGTACAAACATCACAAAAATTTAAATCAGATAAATTTATAAAAAAAAACACAAAACTACTTTAGTAGAAATTATTTCTAAAGTTAACTAAAACTCTATATGCTCATAATATATTACACAATATATATTTTAAAAAGATCTAAATTATATTAAAGAAAGATTTACAAGTAAGTTAACTAACTTAAGTAATTAGATATAATAGTAAAATTAATTTGATATAAGAAATAAATTAATAATCAGAATATTTAAATAGATAACTCATAAGCAGTTTACAGATATAGTAACATAGTATAAAACTAAACAGATGATTCACATCTGTATAGCAAACTACTTAAATAAACAATAACTAAAGTTATACATATGATTTGTTGTATACTTATCATTTAATTATAAACTTTAGAAGATTATCATATATATGACTCTATAATAAAAAATTAATAAAATCTAATCAGCCAAAAAAACAGCCTTAATAACAAAAAAAAAAAAAAATATATAATCATTACTCTAATATAAACTTTGTAACAAATTACTCTAATAAAATAATATTTTATTTAAATACTGTTAGAAACCCTCTTTCTATGTTTGATATTACTTGTAATATATTAAGAAAGCTATACTACTTGTAAAAATATTATATAATTTCTTTTTAAATACTAAGTAAAAATATCTTTAAAAAAAAAAAAAAAACCCCCCCAATTAATTACTAAATCTGAGAACATTCCGAATTCTACATGTCAATAGAGTACAAAATGTCTCAAACATCGAAATTAGCTAGGTCTTTACTGAATATCTTTACATTTTTGTTTAAAGAAAAAAAATTAATTTAATTTATTAAATAAAGTATGTTTATTTTAAATTTAGATAATTCATATTTTTAACCAATGCTACATAATGACAATTATCGGGATTAACATGAATAAGGCTTAATATATTGGGCAAGTTTAAAAAATTTATCAATGTATGAAAGATTTAACAATCTTAATTTAATTTAAGCCACAACATTAGCCGAATTACCACCATTGCATATTCCTGAGATCAAAAACGTGAGTGTATATATTTCAGTCTTAGATAACAATTTAATTTTTACTGGTATGCTTTGAGCTGCTGCAGTAGAAGTTGAATACGATGTGGTAGATGTTGGAGCAGAAGAAACATGAATCTAAAAAAATTAAAGTTAAATGCAAACGTATTTCATATTAAAAATATTGCATAATAATTAACTTACGGTGGTATAACCTTTCACATCTTCCAAACTTTCAACATCTCGTTCTTGATTTAGAATATTGTGAATTTCGGTCAACTTTTCGGTAGCATCTTTAATATTCCCAGTATGCATATTAAAGGATACGTATAAAAGTAAATAATGTAAACGAAGACGATGATTGGATATCGGAAAAATGTGATAGGTTTGTGGAGGTTGAGATGAAGGTGGAAGGAAATATATAGTTGAAAGCTCAGCGAGCGAATGCTGGGCTATTGAATAGTTTTGATTCGTTAAAGAGTATTGAACGATTGTTATTAAAAGGCATGCCTAAAAAGTAGAGTTAAAAAGGGTTGTAATGTACTGATTTTATTCATAATATATAAACAACTTGCAATTACTCCTACCATAATCTGAATTATACCTTCATTTCGATATCGCCTCTTTGGTCAGCAATTGATTCAGCTTGTCTCAATGTTGATAAACATCCATTGAAATCACCTTCGGCGTTATGAAGTTCAGCATGTCGTAATAAAAAATGATAGGTCCAGTCAGGCATGTTGCATCTATACAAAAATGCAAATATTTCGGTTAAAAATATAGTAAAAATAATTAAAAAAAAATTATAATATTAAAAATTGATCAATAACTATGAGCAGAAATTCACCTACTCCATTGCTTCAATAGCACCGGACTTCATAATGTTTCGTGCCGCTTTAATATTATTGGCATTTTTGAAAATATTGCATTGAAGGTCAATCATCCTAAATTTTACATCAGCCACAGAATCTAACTTTAAAAAAATAAAATATAAAAAAATCAATAACACGCTAAAAGACACAATAAAAGATTATGGATAAAATCCTGACAACACCTATATAATAATAAACCTTACTCAATAAAAATTGGCAGCACCAAAGAATAAACATTTAATGCTAATAATTACCTTCTGAGATATCATTATCTGAAAATAGAATATATAATGAAAAAATGAGAACGAAATAACATCATTACAATTATATTTATTATTAAAATTCATACATACAGCTTTTTGCAAATGACTCTCTGCTTCTCGAACGTTCTCAGTAAACCAGAATAGAATCTGACTCAATCTAAACCGCGTCTTTAGTTCAACTAATGGCGTATATGTGTTACTACTGGCAACACTTATGATCACAGCTTCCAGGCATTTGATCGCGGCTAAAATATGCTTTTGTTGCTCCGAAGATAACTTTGGGTAATTTACTAAGGATGTGGGAGGTAATTCAGTTGCTTTAGATAAATAGTGTTCAGCAAAATACCATAAAAGCTGGTGTGGCAATAGTTGTGCTTCTTGTTGCTGTGGATATTGCGATATCAATTGTTGCTCACGTAAATCGTGTCGTTCGCACGTTTGAGGAAGCATTTGCGTAGGAATCATAGATTGCAAGGATACTTCACTTGGGAGCTGTCGTTGAGGCATCGGCTGATGTAATGGCTGTCGTAAATACTGTTGTTGAGGTGTTATATAGTCATGAAAAGTCTGTTGTATATTAGCGGTCATTGAATTATTTGGGTATGTGTAAGGAACATCTGTGTAGGTTGTATGTCCGTCATAAGGAGTCGGAGTATAATCCATATACTCATAGTTTGTTTGAGACTCCGAGATGTATTGAGGTTGTTGATATGAATGCTGTTGTTGGTGAAAGGACTGTTGCTGTTGTTGATAATATTGTGTTGGTTGTTGCTGTTGATAGTTCCATTGTTGCTGAGTGGACCATTGTTCATATTGAGCAGGAAAACGGTGCTGAGACATTTTAATTTGTAATAGCACGAAGGATTCTAAAAAATGTAAGTGCGTGTATGCATATTCGATATCGATATGGATAATTACTAACTAATAAGGCATGACGTTAAAGTCACGTTACTAAACAATTGCACGTGAAAGTTTTTTCATATTTCAAATTTTTTATTACAAAATTGACATTAAGACTTCAAGAATATTATTTTTCTACGTTACTACATGACAAAATGAATATCAGATATGATAAAGTTACGTATTTAACTGATTTCTTAAATGTGCTTTTTAATGCTTATTTGCGCCAACGTTTTGTTGTTGAAGAAACCTTGGTCAAGTTTTCGGATTGTAAATTTTCACCTTCAACCGTATGTCGCTTTTGACGTGTTGATTTTCTGATATTCTGTGATGATAGTATATGTACATATATCAGCAAATATGTAATAGAATATACTCTTTCAGTAATCAAAAAAATAAAATAGAATAAGTTACCAAGTTTGTCAATGTATGAGAACTGTTGCTCGAACTGTTATTCTTTGCACTTTGAATTAAAATTTGCACGCTTGGCACAATTGCCGTAGTTCTGCCACCGACAGTTTCAAACAAAATCTTTTCTCCATCCGGCATAAATGCGCCTACCTTATTTCCTTTACCCCATCTATAATGAAACAACCAAGAAGAGGGAAACAAACTAGCATCTGCGTTCACTTCTACTGCAGTTTTACAAACATATACCAAATTCTCGTATAATGCAGTAATCTGTTCATCGCTTAGTGTATTCGCGTATTGTGCAGGATGTATACGCGATTGATAAAGTGTTTCGTCTGCAATCCAATTGCCAACGCCAGCTGAAAATGATTGATCCAATAACAATGCTTTGATAGGGCAATGACGTTTCAAAGTCTTTTCTTTAAATGTTTGTCTATCTGGCATACTTTGCAAAGGATCAAATCCGAGTTTTGATATTGGAGGATCTTGTAAAGGTGAATTAACAAGACGTATTCTTGCCAATCTTCGCTTGTCAGTGAATGCCATTACTATGTTTTGTGAAGATGAATCTGATAATTCCTCAAGAGAGATTGTGAATTTCCAGAAACGAGGTGGCCAATCTTTTGGATCATCCTTGGACGGTCTACGATATTGAAAGATTTCCTGATCTTTAAACTTTAGATATGTAAGAGGTTACTAATGACGCGTTTTGTAAGTGGTAAAAAAATATATATGACGCTAACGTTGATATATGTACACGAATATCTCCGGTCATTCCAAAGTGCATAACAGCGTGTGGTCCTTCGTTAAATACTATAAAACAATCAATATTGTGACAACTAATAAACGAACTACTGTATATGTTACACGTCAATATATACGCGAAACCTAAAAAGCCTCACTAAAGTAAAAATATTTCCCCTGTCGTCCCGTATCTACAATAACTTTATTCAGCAATCTCTTTTCAAATTCTCTATTTGTCATATCACAAAAAACCAGATTGTCTTCTTGCTGTTAAAAAGTAAATACATTTATTTTACATATGATAATCAAAAGTTATGTCAGATAAATAATGCATTAGACGTACTGATTCAACACAAACGATCTTTTTTCCAACTAATTTAGCGTTACACGCTCTTTCTGCGCGATGAACTTCGGGAAGTTCAGGCATTGTACTATAGGTAGGTTAGAAGATTATCGCTGGGGATTTACATTTACATTTTATCTGTTACTGTATACATCACGTGTTTTTGTGCTCTAAAAATTATAATTTTTTAATAGCGATAAGACTGTGTTCGGTACACTATGTAAATCAAAATTATAATAATTCTTCGCGAATTTTAATCGATGCACAACCCTAACGGCTTGATGGTTTAAGATAAAATTTTGTATCAACCAAGATTATGTCTCTACAAACAAAGCTATAGAGCCATTTCTTTTATTTAACTATGAAAAAATTTTAATTAAAGAGGAAGACTTTTTTTAAAATGGTGGTTTAAATTTTTTTC